CGGAAGTGGCGCTGTGGCTCAAGTGGTAGAGCACTAGCCTTGAGCTGAAGAGCTGAGGGACAGCGCCCAGGCCCAGAGTTCAGGCCCCATGACTGGACCCAAAAAAGTAAAAAATAAAAGAATATGTGGATGCGTTTTTAATAGTGATGCAAACACAGTTCTGCCATTACAGGCTTATCTTTTCAAAAGCTCAATAGTAACTCTGGGAAGTAGATTTTCAAATATCTGAAGTCTTGTTGCCAGCAAGAAAACAATTTGCATTTAAAAAGATCATACGCCTAAGGGATTAACACAGATAAAACCAAAGTATCATAACTAAAGGAGAACCCTGCTGCAAGGAAAGGAAGAAAGACTTGGGTTAGATTATCAGAAAAATACTGCATGGAATGGCAGATGACATTGCTCTTGTCAGTTTTGGAGCCAGGCTGGGCAAAGCCCTGTGGAAATGGTTGGAATCTCTTAACAGACACTTTAAAAAAATAATTCCTGACTTAATAATTCATGACCAGATTAATCTCTCTCGGTGTGCTTACTCATCTGAAAAAGGATTTATTAGAAGAAAATCCCTCCTGAGCTGACAGAGAAGCCCACATGTATGTAGATAACACCCTGATGCCGAGTACCAGAACGACTCATTTTAAGAAATTATGAAATCAACATCCGGGTTTTACAGGGTGGACAAATGAAGAGCTGATTCCATGAAAACCTCCTATGCAAATGTCTTTAGAGCAAACACATTCCACAGCACCAGATCAAGACCCAATCCCTTAAGCCTCTTTAACACGTTTCCAGTCTAGATTCCTAGTCTTATCTCTCCCTTCCTCTGCTCTCTGAATCCTCTCTATCCTGATGGCTGTCAAAAGGATTTGTCATTTCCCCTGCTCCTCAACTCCCGCTCCATTCATAAATATCATGTGAAGGTTTACCCAACCTTGCCCGAGCCACCCGTGTCTCTCCCCCAGTACTCTGACAAGCTTTGCTAGATCAAATCATTCTGGCTGTCAGATTATATTGTTCTGCAAATAGTGGAAGAGGAAAAAAAATACCACGAGTTTCTGAAAACTACTTTTCTTCCCTTTTCATTGTCCCCCAAATCTAGATTAGTTTTTATTCCAAGTCTAGACCATTGCTCCTCCCTCCCCCCAGAAGCTTCGTAGTTCTTGTTTCTTCTGCTATGGTCCTCTGGTCACAAGCAGGACAGGCTCTCAGCCCTGCTACCTGTGTGGGGCTTATTGGTTGTGTTTGTGTGTGCTGGAAACACAGCTTCTGGAAAAGGCCTTCGTAAAGGCCTAAACCTTTGCAAACATTTTCCCCTCCAGAGCAGGAAAAAGGCAAGAACAATGCAACCCATGATGGTGAAGATCATAGAACACTGACGACTGCAGCCACCAAGAGGCCGGGAGGACTCTGGAACGGCCAGTGCATTTGCTCGCCTTAAAGTTCCAATAGTACATTGTATATAGCCGCCCCTTGTTTACTGGCAGAATAAATATATAATTCTCCCTCTCCCCCGAACTTTCCGGTTCTGGACTCACTGTATGGACAGAATGAGCAAACCACATCTGATCGGTTCTCATCCGAATCTAGGAAGTACCAGGAGAGGGAAGAGAAGTGTTCCCCAGATCCCTGTGAGGTGAAAGGTGGAGAAAAACCCCGAGAGTCTTTTTCCTGGCTCAGACAGAGTGACCTTTGGGATTTCCTTAAGTTCTCTGCTCTCATCCATAAAATAAGGAATGTGGCCATACTCGTTCCAAAGGTCCTGGATTTCCTCAGAGCTCTGTGAGTCTCTCTTGGGACCATTAATAATGTGGTGATCAGCTCTGACAAGACAGCTGACCTCTATACCAGCGTGACACCCCCATCCCCACTGGCATGTTCCTTGGGGCTGGAGAAGCGTTGGTGATTGTCTCCAGATAAGAACCGTCATGACTTCTCACTTGTCTCAGTCATCATTAATGCTCTTTGTAACAAATCCATCTTCAATCATTCATTCTACCTAATTCTGTGACTTGCAAATAGGAAACAGTTCATCTTATCAATTGGTTTGAAAAGCCAGGCTAGAGGTGTGACTCAAGCTGGTGAGGCACCAGCTAAGAGAAAGATCATCCAGCTAAGAGCAAGCCCAGGGAGTTGCAAGGTCCTGAGTTCAAATCCTGGTATCAGATGCATTTGGTGATGTATTTGATGGTGCACTGCCGGCTACCTGAGAAGTCTGGACACTCAGTGAAAGAGATGTTTTTGGCTGGCAGTCAAGTCACCGCCTACCCTACCAATTTGGGTGTTTTTATGGATAGTAGCATACTATGCATTGTGATAGATGGGCTGTTCCATAGAGGGTCACTGGAAGCATTTAAACCTACACAGATGGCCACATGCACTTTGCTATGGCTCCAATAAAAATATTCATTAGGCAGGTAGTCTTTAAGGGAGGTGTTATGCCACAGGTAAGCGTCATGTAGGGAGAGACAATTTTGAAATTTTAAGGGAAAAGAAAGACTCATCTTGCCTGGGATGGCAGAAGACCTGTAATCCAGTACTCAGGGGGCTGAAGTAGGATGGCAAGTTCAAGACCAGCCTGGACTCTTATATACCAAGTCAATGTCTTCACTTACCTGAAAGGCGACTCTTGAGCTTCAGCTTACTGTTGTTCTGTTTGGGGCTTTCTGAGCTCTCCTTGGATTCTTCCTGGGGTTCCTCCATCCCGGGTATCTGAAAGGCAGAGGGCACAGAGCTGGTGAGAGGCTGGTCCATGCCGATGCTTGTGCTACCCTCTGCAAGAGGTTAGCTCAGTGAGGCTGGAGGCGTAGCCACACAGGTGTCATGTGAGGAGAAAAAGGTTCAGAGGTTCATAGCCCAGCCCTGCAGATAACCTGCCTAGACAGCACCTCCTCCCACATCCTCCACGCAGCCAGGACCACGAAGCTTCCAAACTGGAAAGGACCCCTGGGCTCCTTCCTCTCTCATGACATAGGAAAAACCTTGTCGAGTTCACCCTCAGGAGTTAATGGCAGAGCCGCAGCTAGAGGCCAGGTCTCCCGGCTAGTGGCTCAGGGCTTTGGCTACAATGCAACAAATATGAACTAATCAAACCCAATTCTACAGTTCCTAAAATACAGCCAAACTTGGATTTTTGTGGCAAATAACTACAGGCATGGGTTGCTTAATGATTGGAATATGTTCTGGGAAATGCAATGTGAGGCAATTCTGTCACTGTGCAACTTCATAAGGGATTCAGTCAGGCCCTGGCTGGTCTAGGCCAGTGATCCTGCAAACCCTTGGGATCCAACCAGAGAGGAGATGAACTTGAGATATCTGAGGCTGCCACCAGGTTGTGTTTTGGGAACAGAACATTCAAACTTAATGCAAATCTCTGTCCTTCAATTGTTTATTTTCCCTTTGTTTAATTTTGATGGTACTGGGATCTGAACCCAGGACCTTGAGTGTGAGAGTCAGGAGCTTTCCCAATTGAGTAATCCCCCAGCCATCAATTACTTTCTTATTGGCATATATTAATCTTAAAAAGGGATTTCACTGTGACATTGCATACACCCACAGAATGTGCTTTGGTCAAAGTCACTGCTCCCTTACTTCCTTATCTGCTCTCTCCCCTTTGCAAACAATTTTTAATGAATTTCACTTATTCTATTTTCATATATGCATATAAAGTACTTCAATCATGTTCACTCTCTGAATTCTCTCCTTCCCCCTTGTTCCCACCTCTCGATGGTCCCTGTCTTTTTTAAACAAATAGAATTTAAAAATTATTTTTCAAAAGTCATACGAAGGAGTTTCAATTCAACCTGTCGGTTTTGCCCATGTTATATTCTTCACACTCATTTTTTTAAAGGTCTAGATTTTGCATATGTGAGAGAACATGGCATTCAGGGCATACTGTTTTGCAGTGAATGTTTTAAAATAAGGAATACAGCCTAAAACAATAATTAAAAAGTATAGTAAGAATCTAAACCAGTCACATAGTTACTTATTGGCTCTTCTGTCTTGTATGTAATTGTAGTGTGTGTGTGTGTGTGTGTGTGTGTGTGTGTATGCATGTATATGACTGCTGGTGCAAGTTTATTTACACCAGTATCAACACTCATGGGTAATTGATTTCACTAAGATGTCACTAGGCAACAGGAATTTTCAATCCTCATTATTATCTTATGGGCCCACCATTGTCAATGTCTGTCAACGACGACATTGTCAACAACAATTGACATGGGGCTGAACAGCCTTCATTAGGCCTGATATTCTGTGTGTTGCACTCCTGAATAGCAATTAAGCACCGAGCATCGCCAAGGTTCGTATCTATAGACACACAGATTGTGTGTCTATAGAATCAGACCCCAGAGACAACCCCATGGCTCATGTCCTCATCCTGAAAAAGCCAAACATGCTTGAAACTACAATGTTTAGATTATAAACGGAAACTTACATGTTTGGAAAGTGTTCGTTAAACTTTAGTGTTTGTTTGTATGTGTGTGTGGGGGTATCAAACTTTGAGACACAACAAACAATGCATTTCCTCTTTCAAGATTTCAGAGGGAAAAAAGCCTTACATTAAAATAGATAAGACTTATGTTATAGAACACACAAACATTTAAAAAAGACACATGAGTTACCCTTTGACAGTAATCATCTGTTGAAAACTCAAGCAATCATGTTATAAAAGAAAATCCCACCTGATTTTAACAGGTGATAAAAAATTATTCATTGTGTATCAAATACAGTTCATAACAATGCATAAAAAAGTAAAGTGATCCTCTAGTAACTCTTCTCTTATGAGGTAATTTATAGCATACATGCCATTGAGAAGCATCTCTTTTCTTCCTTGAATTCAAATGTTTCCAGATAAGGCAAAGGATGAAAGGTCTCAGAATGGGGGAGATGCAGGTCACATTAAGGAAGGCGCAACTGGGAAAAGAAATTCTGACACTGAAACGATGATAATGTCACTTTACTGCATTCAGATTTTAATGTCCAGGTTGAAGGAAAAGCAAGAATGGAATCCTGAAGATAGTTTTAGAGATTCTCCAGGGATATCTTTCCTGAGACCAAGGCAAGCCCAGAGAATACGAGCTGTTTTTGAGGCATGTCAGAGATCGGTGCCAACCCGGGGATGCGCAAACAGGAATAAGGCAGGACTTCTGCTTTGCTTGCTTGAAAAACTTTACAGAACAACCTGTCTCCAGACTATAAACAGCGATTACTGGAGGCTGAGGAAAGCTCCTGGTGGGTTTTCTTTCTTATTTTTTTCCCCCCCTGGTCATACCACCTGGCCTGCTAGGCTGCCAACTTTCAGATAAAGGTATTCCCCAGCTTGAATGCCATTACCTCTCTTAGTGCCCATTAAATGAGCCGTTCATTACACAGTGGCCAAGGATGATCCCAGCAGACATAGTCTGTCTGAGATGTTCATATCTGGGGAGGAACTCGGATCTTGCCTCCTGTCTCTATTTATGGAGTACTCATTACCCAGTCTTTATAACACAGCTCTTATTAATCCCTCAGGGCACCAAAGAATAAAATGAAACTTGATTTCTCTGATCTACAAAATGCTAGTATGGGGGCTGGGAAGGTGGCTCAGTGGTAGAGCGCTTGCCTTGCATGCCTGAGGCCCTGGGTTCGATTCCTCAGCACCACATAAGCAAAAAGAAAAAAGCCAGAAGTGGCGCAGGCCCAGAATTCAGGCCCCACGACCGGACCCTCCACCCAAAAAAAATAATGCCAGTAATGTGTTCCAGTACTGGTGTCTGAATGCTGTCCCCTTAAGAGTTTTTTGCTCAAAGCTAGTGCTTTACCACTTGAGACACACAGCTGCACTTATAGCTTTATGCTAGTTAATTGGAGATAAGAGCCAGGCACTGGTGGCTCACGCCTGTAATCCTAGCTACTTAGGAGGCTGATATCTGAGGATCACAGTTCAAAGTCAGTCAGGGCAGGAAAGTCTGTGAGTCTCATATCTCAAATTAACCTCCAGAAAAATCAGAAGTAGCGCTATGGCTCAAAGTGGTAGCGTACTAGCTTTGAGCAAAAAGAGCTCAGGGACAGTGTCCAAGCCCTGAGTTCAAGCCCCATAACTGAGAGAGAGAGAGAGAAAGACACGGGGGGGAGGGGAGAGAGAGAGAGAGAGAGAGAGAGAGAGAGAGAGAGAGAGAGAGAGAGAGAGGAGACCCACTGACTTTCCTGCCCATGCTGATTTCAAGTTGTGATCCTCAGATGTCAGCCTCTCAAGTAGCTAGGATTAAGACTTGAGCCATTGGCATGGCACCTGGCAAAGAAATCTCAGGAAAGGGCATGGTTATAATTTAACCTCATAACTAGACCAGTAAGAATGAACTGAGTTATCTTAAGGTAGTGAAAAGTACACATAGCAGAGATTAACGAGGGAGTGACATCTTCTATCAAAACCTACTAAAAGAGCTAAAGTAGGTATCTTAGTCCATTTTATGTTGCCCTAACAGACTTCCACAGACTGGGTCATTAATAAAAGCAATTAATCGCTCACAATTCTGGAGGTTGAGAAGTCCGGCTTTTGGTGGGAGCCCTATTGCTACATTATTCCCTGGCAGAAGACGGACAGGCAAGAAACCCAGACAGAGTGTGAGAACAAAAAGGCCAAACTTGCCAGCTTGCTCTTGCAATACATAATCGATTCCCACAAGGACAGAGTTAATACTAATCACCTTTTACAGCCTCATCTCCCAACTCTATTGGATTTGGGATTCAGTTTCCCACACATGAATTTATTCAAACCATAGCAAGAGAATTCTGAATGTAAAGGCGACGATTTCCTCTTGAGCCAAACTGGTTTGCTGAGCAGTCAGGAGGCTTGCAAGCCAGCAAGCAGGAAGTGGGTGGCTTGGACACATTAGTTCCAGATTATAACAGGAAGAAGCAGCATACTGAGTGTAACTGTGGTTATAACGAGCCTTTCTTTAGTCTTATACTATTGTCTGAGAATGGCTATGTGCTGAGAACCCCTTTGCTGTGTGCACTTTCCCCCAATGCACAGAACAAACGGAACCGTGTGAAAATACCATCTAGTTATTCTAAAATGAACATTCCAGAAAGTTCTCCTGGGAGACCAGTGAAGCAGTTGATATGTTCTATTATTCACAAGCAGCTTCTAGTTCATGTGTCATAAAACAATGGCAGGATACCCTTAGAATCTAACAAAGTTGCCAATTTCCATGTTCAAGTTGGTCCTTGCCATGTTTCTCTGTGTTTGTATCCTGTGAAATTCTCTCTTAATAAAGCAGCAGCTTTAGCTTCTGGTTTTGCAGAGGGTAGTAGTCAGAGTGGCTAAGTATCCAGGGCACAAATCCTGGTGGTACCATATTATTCACAGCATAGGCACAGGAGGTACCCTGCTAAGCTTCAGTGTCCTCATTAGCAATAAGGATCTGTCCTTAAGAACGAAATCATAGCCAGGAACGGGTAGCTCACGCCTGTAATCCTAGCTACTTGGGAGGTTGAGATCTGAGGATCACGGTTCAAAGCCAGCCCGGGCAGGAAAGTCCGTGACACTCTTATCTCTAATAAACCACCAGGAAACTGGAAGTGGTGCTGTGGCTCAAGTGGTAGAGCGCTAGCCCTGAGCTGAAGAGCTGAGGGACAGCAGCCAGGCCCAGAGTTCAAGCCTCATGCCCCCCCTCTTGCCCGCCCCCCCCAAAGAAATAATATTGGTTTCTGATTAATTGTGGCAT